TCAAGTCAAAATTCGAAAATTAGTCTTTCTAAGGAGAACTACGGCATTCATTTTAAAACTACTGTTAATTTGCAGTATCTCCACAGCAATAAACTAAGAGTACAAACTCTTTCCACTAGGATATTCAAATATCATTGGAGTCTACATGATGCACATCGTGCCGATTCCAAAGCAATTTATCAGTTCGGGAACTACTCTTATAAGAAGAAAAGTCCTTTTGATTGTATCAATGATAACATTCTTATCTTCATAGAACAATGCAATAAACTTTTTCCATATAAAATCTTAAACTAATTTGGTTTTGTAGAAATATTCTCGTATGTCTAATGAGCGTGAAAATCTAAAACATCTTCGTTCAAGTGTTCCATTTAAAAAACAAACTCCAACTACTGATTCAGGTTTTTCAAGTAAATATTTATTTAAAATATTTTATTGAAAAAAAAAAACGCTATTTTCTTTTGTTTCTTTTAGCTTTACAACTAGCTGCAGCTACACCACTTTTACCAATAAATTCTTCTCAGCAATCAATTGATGAAAGTACTATTCTACGATCATTACGTATGAATGCTCTGCAAGTATGTTCGATTTAATAAATAATTATCATTTAAGAAAAAAAAGAAAAAATAAACTTTTCTGTTTAGGATCAATTATATATTGAAGATGAAATGTCATTTATTAACAGTCTACGTGCTGGTAATCATCTATCATCACGTAGTGCAAGTCTTTCCAATCTTCATCGTCATCCGGAAACGAATTTACTTAGGACAAATCAATAGTTTTAAATGATTTCTTTTCTTATGTATTTATAGATGTTAGAAAAGAAAAACCAGATGATAAACCAATTACTTTTGCTTCTTCATTTTTTCTTTTCTTTTTTTAATTGTATTTTTATTTTCCAAGTATCTGCTTTTTATACTAAGAATATTTGATAAAGGTCAGCATTTGAGGGTAGACAGTGTAATGAGAATAAGAATAGAAACAAATTCAAATGATTGAAAAGATCGATAAAGAAAGTAAACAAAAACTTCTGTTTTATATCAAATATGTTGCTCTCTCGATAATATAATTAAACAAAAACTCGTTTTTATCATTTAAATAAAAAATCATTTGATCAACATACAACATTATTTTATATCGTTGATTATTAGACAGTAAGTAGACATAGGATTGCTATCTAAGATTATTTGTTATATAATAGAGAACGGAAAGATTATCTAAGATTGTTTATTATATAATAGAGAATGGAAAGAAAAGTACCTTGTTTTGAGTTTTTCTATCATGTTCTAAGATGTCCTTCGTGTACGTTGTTGACTTTATGATAACGTATAGTCATCTGGTAACAATTTGATCTGATAATATTAGCTTGGATACGTGGAATATTCGAAAAGTATATGAAATATAGTCAAAATCAGAACAGTATGTATTATTATTTAACATTTGTTAAGATGTACATTATTTGATAAGAAACTTTCGATAGATACGAAAGACATGAATTAATTAAACTTGAATTTTTCTTCCTAGTTCATTTCGTCATCATTACGATTAGAAAAAAATTTCAATACCACTATAAAAGATATGATGAATAAAAACAAAAAACAATGTCAAAAAAAAGCTTATAGTTACAATAATTGAACCTAACAACAGAGAAGTAAAATCATGAAAGAAGAAAGCATTGACTGTTCTTCGGATTTAGTTAAACATATTCGTAACAGAATTGAAAAAAGAAAATATAATTTTTTTTTCTTATTTACTACCTGGCATGACCTCCAAATTCAAGTCATTTATTTATTCAACCACCCATGGTATGTGCGAGTTTTTGTAGAATGATGTATTTACTCATAAATAGGTCTAATTATAAACCATTGATTAGTTCAATCAGTCAGAATTGTACATGTAACTGAGGTCCAGTTTTTATTTCATGGAATCTCATCCATCATAGGGAAACAACTGACAACACATTACGATAGAATATAGATTTGAAATTGACATTCTCCTTCATGTTTAATTTATTAATATAGCAAAAAATTATATAAACTAGTTATACATTCAAATATCCAACGAAAAAAAAATACTCGAAATTCGGCAGCGATGTCATTTGCTTATTATGAATCCACACGTGTAGCTTGCTTCTCATTTCTTTTAGTCTATTCTGATGAAAAGAGAGGAGAAAAAAAAAACTAACGAACACGAGGGACGACATGATAAGAAAAATACGGGTAGTAAGAAAGAACAAGAAGAGTATGATCAAAAAACGGCCTGCTCCATAATAAACATATAAGATCAGTTATTTCGTTTTATTCATGCGTATTATATTCAAGGATCAACAATACATGCCAGGTACACTATGATAAAAATGAACAGGGCAACTTTCTATTGTTAAACTTGTATTAATCAATGAATATCCGATTATCTTTCTATTCTAGGCAATAATAATTCCCAATGTCTACGAATATCGGTGAAACCTCTAACAATCGAATAATCTCTCGAAAGTAAGTATATCTGAATGATAATAACTCTTTTAGGAAAGAGTTGTAGAAGATCTTTGTTTTTCTTTAATTCTTACATTAAGAAACTATATAAGCATACTAAATAAGAATCTAAATAGAGTTCATAATCTCTAATTTCATTATTAAATTGAACAGTGTATTTAGGTAAAAGTCACAGTCATAAATCTATTATTTTGAAGCAATTGCTAAACAAATATTGGTAAAAATTTGGCATTTTTTCTATCAAGCCTGATCGAACTTATGCTCTAAGTAAAGATTTGTTTGTTGATAAAAGTATGCATTTCCTTTTTCAAACTAATGTGTTTACCATTTTTGTCTGCGTTAGTCTACATAAGTTACGACCGGCTTTTGCAGAAGTAACTTTCTTGATAATCACTGAATTAACTAGTCGTTACAGTGTCTTAAAGTAAATGTTTGATGAATTTTTACATGAAATCGTTTGAAAAAATGTTGCTCTATTCTCTAGATATTTAAATTTTTGTGTAGACTCTATGACAGAAAAAGAATAACTTTTGTTTCTTTTGCAGCAGTCCATATTAAATCAGTAAAGTGTGAGAACCGAGAAATATGAATCCCTCAACTATTGAGGAATTATTAAAAGAGTTATGATAATTCCTCGGAGAATTGAGAATTGACTGTCAACTTCTTTACAGCTCTGCAATTCATAGTAGCCAAAAGGATGCATGTTTGTCTGCACTACTTTTCACGATCACACATTCCTTCGTCGATAAAGATTTAAGAGCAAAATATATCGTGGATATTGCGTTTTGTTCTTTTGATTTTGATTGTCGCAGAACTATGTAAAAATTTAGGAAGAATTCATATAGCTCAGTGCTTGGACATCTGGTGGAATATGAGAATGTACGCAGAAAAATTTAGACATCTTAAGAATAAGACAATATCTTTTCAAAAGACTTGCGTCGTAAAAGTCAATCAAATATTTACACTTTAAGAAATGCAAAAATCGTTCATTGAGCATGATCGACTGTGTCCTAAATAGAATGTCTCATGTGTAATACATTTATTTGATATCGTTAACCGAAGTATATAGAAGAAAAAGTTGTGCTTTACATGTTACACTTTGTCATTTAATGTATGTCCATGAATAATCGTATTTGATTACGGTAGCATGTATTGATGAATAATAATCGATCAAAGCAAAAACAGATGAAATTAGTAATACTTTAACAAACGCTTTTATAAGGTTATTTTCAATGGAAAAATATCACAAAAGAGTTATTTCAAGAATGGAGAATGATATTATACTAACTCGGGAACTTATTTGAGTGGCCTCCTGCGTGATTGAATGTTTAAAAAATTCGAGGGACAAAATGTAATTATCCTGCGCGGTAGATATTTCATGAAAAATGAAGTATCCCAGTATTAACTGCAAAATATCACGTTTTGTAGAGAATTCTTTTCTTATCATTTATGAAAAAATAATTTTTCTATTTGTTTAAAAAATAACAAAGATCAAATGTGAACATTGAAATAGGAAAAAATGTACGCAAGTATTCATACTCACGTTTCAGTATTAGTATCATATCTCTGTTATTTGTTAACCAAATCGACAAACATTTTCTTTTACAAAAATGATAAAAAAAGAACTCACTACAAAATGTGATATTTTGTAGTTAATTCTGAGATAGTTGATTTTTCATAAAAATATCTGCATCACGAGAGAATTACAATATATATATTCCTCGAACTGTGTAAAGTCTTGTTTCGAGGAAGAACACTTAGAAAGGGAGGTGCAGGTTTACAAAAATGTGAAACTGGACCCGACAGATCCAGACTCGAGTTTTTTTGCTGTCAATATCTGGCCGTCTCTGAATACATGAACACAAGTAGGATCACAGTTTCAGGTACTTATTGACTATTCTCAGAAATTAAAAGTTTTCGTTCGATTGAAAAGAGTATTATATTAACAAAAAAAGAAAATTGAAAAATTAATTGATAAACAAAACTCGTCAAATCAACGATAACATCAAAATTTTCAGCTGTATGAAATAGTCTTAGTTGTATTTATATAAATAAGATCAAGCAAGAATATGTTCTATACAATTCATCTGAAGATTTGGGTATTTATAAATCATCTTTCGGTGCTAATTTCACTATTTATAAATTTTTGTAGTTTTCACAATAAAAAAATACGACAGATGCCAAATCGAGTTAAGAAGAAAATTACAGTTGCTTGTGTTGAATTTGCAATACTTAACTGTTGACCATTCGAAACAATTGATGATATCAATTTTAAAAATCGTGCACAATCAAATTTTTATGCTGTTCGATACTGACTTATAGGGAACTGTAGTTTCATTTTTTATGAACTAGATCCAAACTCGACTCATAGCTCCTTACACTTAAATATGTTTCCTCGTAAAATTCTGTATGAGAATTCTGCATGAGGATGACTTTTTCTATCCGTATCAACATTAGTCCGACATATTTATACTTAGACTCATACTTTAACTCCGAGTTCTGAACAAATTAATGGACTCTTCTGTCGCTAGATCCTTGTAAACAGAATCATGATTCAAAAAAAATTCCTTTATCTATAGGCGAAATCTCTTCGAATATTTATTTCTTAAATTTAATGCATTTTATGAAAATCAATTTTCAACTATTGGTACACATATTGGTAGTAAACCTTATATATTTATATGCGTTCCATTTATCTTAACTGGTCTTTGTTTATTGGGTCTTTTACGTATGAATATGAACAATAATGCTGATGATTTATTTATACCGGTCAATAGTAAAAGTGTACGTGATCGACATCTTGTAGCTAATCTATTACCAATGAATTATGATGAATATTATCTTCATCAAGATTATGATTTTGGTATATATGGTGATGTTATATTTATAACAAATGATTATGGAAATATAGGACGTTCAATTGTACAAAAAGAACTTAAACGCATTTATAATCTTATACAAAAAATAAATGTTACTTATAATAATGAAACATATTTTTATAAAGATCTTTGTGCTAAACGTAATAATCAATGTGTAACTGAAGGTGAAATTTTTTTTCGTAATACATTTTGGAAACGTTTACATGATAAACAATTATATAAATATGTAACAAATAATCTCTATACAGATGATGATGGTGTACCAAATTTATTAACATTTATATTTGGAAAAAGTTTAATACTTAATTTCGATAAAGGTACATTATATGGTAAAGTACTTAAATTACGTTTTAATTTACGACGTACATTATTTATAAAAAATCAAACTGAAAATATTGAAATAATAAGTCGAATGTGGGAACAAGCTTTTTTACAATTTTTTCATCATTTTGAATCAATTATGGTTCGTGCTATTTATTCAGTATCAACATCAATTGATCAAGAACTGGAAAATAATATTAATTTAGGTAAGAAATAATAAAATATATAATAAAAACTAAATTTACTTTATTTTATTTAATCTTATAGATTTGAACTTAGTCGTTATAACATTCACTGTAATGATTATTGTTGCTACGATTTGTTTGTCAATACGTGGTCCATTAACACAATCACCAGCATATTTATCTGCTATTGGTGTTCTAGCAACAATGTTAGGATTAATTTCTGGCTTTGGATTTTGTTCACTAATTGGTATACCTATGTGCTCATTAGTATTTGCTACACCATTTCTTATCATTGGTAAAATATATTTTTTGTTTTTTTTTTTATTAAATTTTAGAATAATTTCTAATTAGGTGTTGGTACTGATGATATGTTTCTAATTTATTCAGCTTATCATCGAACAAAAGCATCTGAAACAACTTCGCAAAGATTAGCAGATACATTTCGTATTTGTGGATCCGGTATAACAATAACATCTTTAACAAATGTTCTTGCTTTTCTAGTTGGAACAACTACGGATTTCTATGGTATACGTCTATTTTGTTTTTATACAAGTAAGTTTATATTAAATTTTTACTTATATGAAATTTTAGTAGTGTTCAATTATGTAGTCTTTTGTGAAATAATGAAAACGTGAAGCTCCGCAGAAATTTCTTTCTTTCATCAATGATAGATCGTGGACCGTCTAGCAAAACTTCTCAAAACTTTAACAGTATCTATTAGATCTAGCAGATTGTCGGAAAAGTAGAGATCTACATCCATAGACCATATGTATCAGAGTTATGCAAGTATAAACGAGCTAACGAGCGAACTATCCGAGGTGATACCTCGCGTATGGGATGAGATCCCAATCATTACGTACGGTCTGTTGAAAGTAGAAGAAGTCTATAGGGTTTCTTCTTCATGTGCTGATCTTTTGAAGTTATGGTCGTTACACTGGATTTGTTTACTTTTGGCACAGTTTTTATTAAAAGCTAGGCAAATAAGTTGTGATTTAAAACTTTGCTTATTGAAGACATTAGAATCTGCTAAAAATTTCAGCCGAAAATGGTTATCTCTTAATATCTCACGAATTCTTGACAAGACTAATAGAAGAAGCAAAAAAAAACGCAAGAATTATGAACGTTTTATTGTGAATTTTCTTTTTTTTTTATTATAAGGTGCTTCAATAGCTTTTTGTTATTTCTATCAAATAATGTTATTTGGTAGTGCAGTTGCACTTTACAATGAATGTATTAATAATAACCGACATACACTCATTCCATGTATTGTCGATCGTACACAAACAACAAATAATCAAAGACATCGACATCGTCGACGACAACAATGTTTACCATGGAAAGAAATGTTTGTCTATGTTATTAAACCATTATTTACAACATGGGGTCAAATAATTGTTTGTTTAATTTTTTTAATTTATACAATATTTGCTATTTATGGAGCATCACAAATGAGAGATGGTATGAAATTGGAACAATTATTAAGCGATAAATCGTATGCACAACATTATTTTAATACACTAGATAAAGAATTTGAACCTTATCCATTAGTACATTTTATTATAACAGAACCAATACCATATTGGAGAAATGATTATATGAAACGAATTCATAACTTAGCTAATACTGCTAAACAATTAGAAGGTAACAAAAAATTTGATGATGTGTTTTTTTTTTGTTTTTTCAAATTATGAGTTTTTTATTATTAGGAATGAGTCCTCAATTTGAAATCTCTTGGTTCTCATTATTGGGCTATGACTCACAAGATTATCCATTTGATAATGGTACAAAATTTATGGAAATAATTCATGGTTTTGTTAATTTATTTCCAACATTTTATAATGATTTATTAATTAATGATACTCATTTAATAGCTAGTCGATATTATTTAAAAATGGGACGTGTGCATTATAATTCATCTGATGGCTATTTAGTTCATCAATTACGTTCACTTGCTGAACAATCAAAACTGCCAATCAAAGGTATAAAAATTGTCTTATTAAATATGTATTCGATTGACAAGGACAATTTTACTATAAGAGGTCAAAAAAAGAGATGTTGCCTAAACATTATACTTAGAAGATCTCTAAGGAGACATTCCGGTGTCATGTGGAAAGATAGAAAAGAAATATGTCACGTATTTTAAATATATTTATATATTATTATGGCTTTTCTCATAATTTTATCGGCTCGTATCTGTAATCAGTGATGAATAATATCTGATAGAAATTAAACTAAAATAGTCAAAAAATAACTACTATACAACATAAACTCAATCATCATTAGTTATTTTGTTTATTAATACACAAGAAAGGAAGATCTTTGCTCTGATCACATGATTACATTTTCATATTGAAACAACTACAAAATATTAGAAATATATATTTAATAGATGTTCTACACAGTGATTAAGTGTTCGAAAAAGAAGCCCTATGCGGATAATTTTCAAAAGTCGGATGGTCGTTGTAAAAGTTTCTACATTAAATGATGTTCATGAATTTTGTGAAACGTTCTTTTTCCTCGTGACTTGTATATAGTTTTTCTAAGACAATAAAAGAAAAATTCTACTCTCCCTCGGACAAAAAAAATGCCTTATCCATTCAATTTTTGCATCACTTAATACGTTGTTTTAAAAAAAACAAAATATACCACAAGATGCAGCGTGAAAAGCTCTACAATAGTGGCGGAGCTAGGATTTTTCGGGATGGTGGATCACAGCTTTAGAGCATGGGTCCCAGTTGAAACCTATGGGGGATAATATTGGCTTCAAATGATGAGTTTCTATCAACTGATTTTTGCGATCTGATTTTGCCAAAAAAATTAGCATTTTCCTGAGCTCCCCCAAGAAATTTTTAATATTGTCAATGGTAACTCACTTTTGAAAATGCCATCGCACGCTACGCTGAATTTAATCGATAAATTTCAANAATTAAAGATAATTTTTGTTAATCAAGCAGGAAAAAACAAGAGACATAAAATGTATATTAAGTTGAATAAACTCAAAGAAAATACAGAATAAGAGAAAATATGAAACAGTATATATTACTATAGTACACTATATGATAGATGTTCTACCTTTGTCTATCTCACCGCTATTCAATGATCAATCTAAAATCTAGGCAAGGAATGGGAAGTCTCCCTCGGACAAAAAAAATGCCTTATCCATTCAATTTTTGCATCACTTAATACGTTGTTTTAAAAAAAACAAAATATACCACAAGATGCAGCGTGAAAAGCTCTACAACCGACAAAGTAAAGCTTATTTTAACTGCGTACTTTTTGTTTTCACAAAAAAGCAAAATTCTGTCCAACCAATTTTCTATTCTGCAAAAGGATCATTTTTCTACACTAACGAGAAATTCATTTTGTCTTCTTTCAATAAACTGTCCTAAGTAAATTGTAGAGGTTTTTACGCTGCATCTCAAAGTATATATTTTTTTTACGAAGGCATATTAATTCATAAAAAAATGAAATAAGGAAACAGGGATTTCTTGTTCACATCGAAAAAAATGATTTTTTTCGCAGCGTCGAAAATTGATTGCACAGAATTTTACTTTTTTTTTGAAACAAAAGTATACAATTAAAATAAGCCTTACTTTGTGGATTGTATAACTTTTCATGCTGCATCTTCTGGTATATTTTTTTTTTTAAACGACATATTAACTGCTGCAAAAATGAAATGGAAAAAAGGCAGTTTTTTGTCCGAGGGAGACTTCCCATTCCTTGCCTAGATTTTAGATTGATCATTGAATAGCGGTGAGATAGACAAAGGTAGAACATCTATCATATAGTGTACTATAGTAATATATGCTGTTTCATATTTTCTCTTATTCTGTATTTTCTTTGAGTTTATTCAACTTAATATACATTTTATGTCTCTTGTTTTTTCCTGCTTGATTAACAAAAATTATCTTTAATTTAATGGCTGTTGTTTGAATATGACAATCACTCATGTTTTTCAGCTAGCAAAATAAAACGAAGCCAATTTTTATTCATAAAAACATCATCTAACAATTAAACGAAACATGATCAAAGCTAACAGTATTATCATTGCCAACCGAGAACCTACTGAGTTAATATTCATGTCTATTGTAATGATCAATGTCAACTAGTACATAGATAACCATAGTTTTCAATGACGGATTTCTGAAAGCATAAGCACAACAGGCTTATTACTACTACTTAGTCGCAATGACTGGATAGGTACGTTGTTAGACGTATCCGCACGGTAGTGTGTGCAAACCGTAGTATCACCAGTCGTGAAATGGCGCTGAACAAATCACTAATGGTTATTTGTCTTAGATCATCAGTTTGATAGCATGCTGACTACATTGTGACATACAGCGAATCTTACAATTGATTAGTGTGTATATGAAAGCTTAAGCAATTGAGCACAAGAATTCTGCATTAGACTGGTCTTCTATCCAGAGTTACACTTAGTCATAGTTGTAGGAAAAATATCGGGCTAATGAATCTGCTGTTCGACAGCACCATATGTCGTAAGTAGGATTACACTTCTTCTATTATTAGTGAGTAGAAATTAGAAGTAGATAAATACATATACAATAGCATACAATTTGGAATAGCGGATATTCATAATCATTTTGTTCATCTTATTCATGTATACCGCAGTTTATCTTGATCGATCATAAACTTTAAAGAGTGCAAAAAATTCGAATTTATAAGAACACTTTCCGAAATTATTACGTTTTTCTCAGATTTTTGTCTTATATCAAAGCATTTAGAAACAATAAAACTACAGAATTGCTATTTGATAGTTAACATTTAAGTATTCCGAATGAGTATTTCTTTCAACCGATATAGATTTTAAAAAAATAATGCTACTTCACATACGTGTATAACTTCCTCTACATTTGATATGCTAAAAAAAGAACCCGGAGTCCTCAGTGGAGTTTTTTCTACATGTTCTGAGAATGATATGACCTGTCTATCATAATACTATCAATTCAAAATGAAACCCTTTTAATGTTCTTAAACTCTCTCTACCAGTTCAACCCTTCATAAAATGATCATAAGTCTGAAAAAAAACTCTAAATTCAAAATATTAAATATTCCCTAATACAAAAATTTATTTTTACTAATAATCTATTCTTTCTCCTTGTTATAGTGTATAGTAATCTTTTCAAATATTATGAACAAATGTATGAAGTCATTCCGAATATAATTCAAACATTTCTCATTGCTATAGAAGCTATATACATAGCAACATTAATAATTATTCCTGATCTTAAATCTGTTATTATTATTATGTCAACAATGTGTATGATACTTCTTAGTCTTGTTGCTACATTACATGCTTGGGGTATTCAAGTATCATCAGTTATGATGGTTGAACTTATTATGTCAATTGGTTTTTGTTCAGATTTTTGTGTACACATTGTACATGCCTTTTTAACATCAACTGGTACAAGAAAAGAACGAGCACAACAAGCATTAATTAACATGGGAATGCCAATATTATGTGCAAGTTTATCATCAATAATTGGTGTTCTATTTTTAGGTCTTGCTCATTCATATTTATTTCGAACATTTTTTAAAACAATGATTTCTATTATGACATTAGGAGCTATACATGCATTGGTTTTTTTACCAGTTATTTTATCATTAATTGGTTCTCATTGGCCATCACATATGAAAGATAACATACAACAAAATGATTCCCTTCAAATGACAACATCTATAAATAAAGATTCTCAAATAAGTGGATATATTATAGAAGAAAATGTTACAAAAAAACATGAAAAATTACAAAGAAAACCAAATACAATTGAAGAAGAAGAAGATGATCAATTAATATCAACAACACAAAGAGCTGAAACAATTACTAATAATTTAACAAACTTAAACATGTATACTTGAAAGATAAAATTAATGATCTTTTCTTTATTTAAATAAATAAACCAATTGACAGATTTTGTTTTCTTTTGCTAATCAGGAAATCTTGCCATCTACCACATTTCGATTTCAGTGATCTTTTGCCTATCGATACTTGACTAAGATACTGAATTTTTACTATGTCTATTTTCTAGAGGTCTCAGGTTGTCGAAGAACACGTATTTTTGAATTTTGATCTGAAACTTGATGCATATAGAGAACTCAAATAGACTAGATTACACAAAATAATTCATAAGTTTTCCACAATCTCTTAGAGATATGCGGTTTAGAGTGTTTAACTTGAAAATTTCTTATCTCGAAGAGACCTTGTTCAAAGCTTTTGAATTTTTATGGAAGTTAGTCTAGTTAAGCTTTCTCTATGCGAAAATTTTTAGAATAAAATTCGAAGGTACAAGCTTTCGAAAGCCTGAGGCTTCTAGTAAATAAACCTTTTAAAAACTCGATAGTTTAGTCAAGTATCAATAGGGAATTAAACTTCTTTTAGGATTTTTATTGGAACAATGTTAATATCGATAGGCAAAAAAATCATTGAAATAGGAATGGGCATCTGTAGAAGATTCTTCGTAAGTTCATTTGAATTACAAATTTTAGCGAAATTGTTTCATCATTGAAATTCCATAGGCGAATTCATAAGAATCTGCCATTCAAAGAAAATAAACAGCTCTAGTAATGTTTTTCTTTTAATTTTGCATTTGTTTTTTCGGTTAATAACCTTAGATTATAGAATTGAAAATAAGAGATGTTCTCATCGATACTGAAAGTTTATTTTATAAAAGTGGCAGATATCAGAGAGAAAAGAAAACAAATTATAAACGCGAGTTTTTAAATAAAACTCTTGATTTCTATAATTCTATAGAACTTTTAATTTCTGTATCGTGAGTATTTCTGTTTAATCAATGACAATTTTCATGGAAACTAGCTCTTTAATGGAAACGCATAGATTTCACTTATTGCCATATCTCATTTTGTAGAGAATCCAATTCTTTATAATAATGTTGAGTTGAAGCTGTTTCAGGACCTACAGGACTGCATCTAAAACCTCTATTTTTCTCTGTAGAGACATAATTTTGAACTTTTTCGTAAAATTTACTGATAGTTGTTCAATTTTATTCCAGAAGAAAAACCTGAATATATATTCGAATATAACGAAAAATTTTGATTCTAGCGGCTCTAGCCAGTTGTCTTTTAATGGTCGAAAGAATAAGCGAATATTTTGTATCAAAACTTTCGCTTTACAGGTTATTTTAAATTGATATGTTTATACAAGTAGCATGAAATAAATTATTTTACGAAATATTCGTTGTACATTCCCAAAATATACATAGATAATGTTTTATATTTTACACATACACAATAACATACAAAATAAGCTCGAAATTCTTCTAAACATAATCATCTCCTTTCGTGACCTAAAACTTTTCTTTATTTTTGTAGCCATTATATATATAATATGAAATAGTATCGTTCTACTGCGTACATTTTGAGATCCAAAAATTGCCTTTAAATGTTGAGACATCAAATTTACATCACAAAAATAGCAAAAACTGTACATTATTGTTTCGTGTTTTTCTCAAAATCAATACTTTCAGGAAAGAAAAAAAAGTACAGAAACGCCTTCATTTCTTCAACGTCGTACATCTGATCGGGCTGAAACGTTTTTCTCATATACTATACACTGTCTTTTCTGTTTCAAAAAATATGCTTCTGTTGATTTTGGTAGATCTTATACAAAAGCTCTATTCAAAAAGTCATGGATTTTTAAGGATTTGACTTCTTTTTTCGAAGAACAAAAGAATAAAAAGATATTCAGCCGAAACTGTGTCTAGTGTCTGTAAAAAAGATTTTCAGCTCGATCGAACATGTCATCTCCAAGAAAGGAAAGAGTCCCTTTTTACCATTGTGATTCGAGTATCTCATAGAAGACGGCATTCGAGAATTTTGAAACCATGATAATTTTTTCTGTACTTATCAACATCTATCTGTTCTGAAACTTTGGAATTTTTCTGTTGAAGCGTTCTCCAAAGTCTCGGCAAGACAGAATACTTTTAAAACTTTTTTTTTCATTCAACGTACATAGTATGCAAAATTCGTACTAAATAACATCAATAAATATCATCAACAAGAAACAAACGACTTCTATTCGTTAGTTTGTCATTTAAATATTATTTCATGTACATAGCATATATTTCAAATAATCAATTCTGTTGTCATCTGACATCATATTACACAAAATGAATGACTACATCTCTCGATTTTATAATTGACCATAACAAACATAAAACTCTTGGTACAATTTTGTTAGATAGAGAAAAAAAAACACAAATAGAAAAACTTATTAATAAATTTGATTTTGATAATTTTGTGAATAATATAAATTCACAACAATCTATTATTTTTCTCTTCCATAAAAACAGCATATGCTAAAAACAAATATATATATCCATATTATTACATGAAAAATGACAAAAGTATGAATATGTATACGATATTCATCTGATATCCATCCAAACTAAAAGAAGATATGCGATATATGATTGATGTATAATGATATGGCAAATATGAATAGGAAACGATTCTATGCTCTTTGCAAGGTGCTGTTTCTTTTTCATTTAAACATATTCTAATTGAAGCAACAAATGAAGTAATCTTGTGAAATGTTTTCATATAGATTAAATTTTTTTTTCTTTTTTATTTACAATATGTCATGGCAGAAACATTTAGTTGATTCATAATAATATCAAATTTTATGTTAGTCATTACTTCTTAAGTTCTTAAGAAAGAAAAACAAACTCAATGAATAAATGCTTGATTTTTCTTGTATTTATAGGAAAGAGAAGTAGAGATTTACTTTCTTTTTACTTATTCTTTGTTCAAACGACAACTGAATATGGCTAACAACAAATTATTAATATCTTCTGTATTTACAACGGAAGGGAGTCATTTTTCATTATGTCTTTATAACATAAGAAAAGAGAATTCTATTGATTTCTTTGTCTTTCTTTTTTGCTCAATGCTTGTCGAAGTTTTAATCATTTGTACATCGTATTTTTTTTTCCAGCGTCATGCATAATGAAGCCGATCGCCAACTAGAAGCCTGCATTTAAATGCTTCTAGGCATTGTTAGCAGATGACATATTTCCTTCCGCTAGTATTATATTGTCTTCTATCGTTTGCATTTATCTATATATATGCATGTTTTTTTTTTCTGGCACCCAGATACAGTAAGATGATGCTGCTCTCGTTTATTTTATCTGGAACATGATCAACTGTCATATTCCTTCTTTCTTTCTTTGAATTTCTTAAATAATAAACCCTGGAAAATATATGCTTAATAGAGATAATAGGATATGCTTAGAAAAGAAAGAATTCCTTTTTTCTTTTTTTATCTCAATCACCGCAGAAGACATATATCAAAGTCCTTGGCTATTTTTGTTCTTCAAATATTAAATAAAATTGAAAAAAAAAGGATTTCTTTTTCTATAGAAAACTAAGCTAAACGTTTAAAAGAACCGTTGAAGGCCAACATTGATTCAAGTCAATATATCTTTTTCAATAATTTATTGGTCGATCAGTACATTTATTTACCGATCAAAAAAAAAAAAAGAACGAAAGAATAATAAAATTTAATAGTCAGTTTAACAGCTACAACAAAATTGCTTCCTTTTTTATCATAATAAATGACAAACAATGATTCATATTGGTATCATTTTATCATAGCTCTAGTCATGGATGTAAACTAATGTCCTTCACACTTGTAAAAAGAAAAAAAAACGGTACCTAACACATCAATGACTCATCGTCTTTCGTTTACACTTATTGGCTTATCTTTACTATTGACGAATGGCAATACTGTATACGTGTGTGATTAATCGAAATGTTAATACAGTAAGAATATAATCATTGCAACAAGATAAGTTATTCGAAACCATATCAATATTACATTACTCAGAATATATGAAATCTCATAGTATAAGTAATTGTCGATGTTCCTTTGGTACAAATGAAAAAATGCTTATGACAAAGAAACGAAAGAAGAACTGAAAAAAAAAGAAGAGAAAAGGAAGAAAAAAAGAAAAAAGAACGAGAGAAAAAAAACAGTAGGATAGCATGGACGATTCTAAGGAACAGAGAAAAAAAGGCGAATATGACAGATGAAAAAAGAGGGACGTTTGAGTACGACGTGGCGAGAGTTATTTTGTTTTTCTTTTCTGATAATCAAACCCAATAGAAAATGAATATGTAAACGTCGAGAACGCGCGCTAACGTTCTTTCAGCACGTAAACAGTACCTTCGATACGGTCAATATATTCTTATTTAGTTCGATTTATAATACAAAGCGAAAAAAAAAACTTGATCAAACGTCGACAGTATTCAATAACTACTTAGTCGTGCATAACATGTTTTATTTTCCTTGGTACGAGCATTAAAAATGTCATGAATGCATGTGCATACGTACATAGCTTATGTGAAGTTTTCATGCAGAACGATTATTCGTTTATAGGTTTTATCCATTCTATTCCAATGGGTTATTTCTTTTGGATTCATTTCAATGTTTCATTCTTTTGTTTAGATGATAATTCTCATAGGTTGATTATTAATTGTAATTACTGAACAATATGCGTTTTTACAATCCATTATATACACGAAAATGGTCAAAAATATTTGCACCTTTTTCAACATTTATTACTCAGTTAGGTAATATTTTTGAATGTCTTTTTCTTTCTTGTTCTTGACATGTATTTTAAAATATTAAAAAAAGAAAAGAAAAATTAGCTTTTATTTTTCTCAAAGAAAAAAGTATATACTGAAGTTCTTGTTTTAATTAAATCTATATAAAATTATTGGGTACATAAGAACTCGTTTTTTTTTTCTTTTTTTTTGTATGAAAGTATTAATAATAGAATAGTATATATTTTAGGTAAACAAATTGGTTTACAGTCAATCATAGGCAAAACCAGCAATGATGATCTATCAATCAATATGGATACAATGTCAAATGGACATGTTATTCAATCAATTGATGATAATGAATCAAATCCGTCCATAAATCTTTTATCAACATTTTTTTCAACTTTAACCTCTTCATTTCGACCTCGTACACCATCAAAACTTCCATATGGTAAATTATTGCATAAATCTCGTTCAAAAGTATCAAAATATTATAAAAACCAACGAAATAATGATATAAAACATGATGAAACAAATTCAATCTATCATCAACTTAATATTCATACAACAAATGATGAAAATAATAATCAAACAAAAAATGAAAATAAACAAAATTCAGTTATTATTGATCTATTACCATTAACATCATCAGAATCAAATGGATCTTTAATCAACGATGATGGCGATGATAATTATAATAAAAATAATTATATATTTACAACTGAACATTTAATATGGTTATTTATTTTAACAATTATTTATTTTACTTGGTTTATATTTATAGCTGGAATATCAATTCTACATATAATTATTTATTTAGTTTTAATATCATTATATTTATTATCGGATCGTACAAGACGTTTTACATTAGCTATAATAATTTATTTTACATATCTATTTTTATATGATGCATTACATTTAATACCAAATTATACGGTATCACAAGTTCATATAAGTGATGTTTATTTAGTTGAAAAAAAATTTTTTGGTATTTTTATAAATGGACATATGATGACATTAAATGAATTTTTCAAATTACATCATATACCTTTATTAGATATTTTAACTGGCATATGTTATCTCAATTGGTAAGATGCTAAACAAAAGAAATATCTTATTTAAATATTTAACAGAAATTCTATTTGCATAAATTTGTTTTTTTTTGTTCTTCTTGTTTTCAATTAAGAAGGTTTATTAGCTTTGTTATTACATACGTAGGATGAGGTCAAAATAGAAAAGCATTTTTTTTTTTTGCTTTTCATTTATTCAATCGATTATTTGAATTAGACTTACAAAATAATCATGAAATATGAGTTGCTTATAAGCTAGAGTTTAGAATATGAATACACAATGAATCTGAAAATTATTTGATCAGATTTACTGTTAATTTAATTTCTAACTAGAATTTTTCAATGAGAAAAATGATTATCAGCTTCTCTCTGAAAAACCAAACACCAAGTTTTTCTGATTCTAGACTTCGGAATTACATTTCTATTTGAATTATCTGAAATGGTGAATCAAGCAATTTTCTACAATGTTTTTTGACCGAGATACATCAATCGTACGGAAGGTGTAAAAATGATGTTTTCATACAAAATAAAAGAAAAAAGAACTTTTGTGTACTTTCATAAGGTCGATGTGTCTTGACGGAGAAATGTCGTAGAAAGCTAGAAGATGTTTTATTTTATAGAGAATCCCTTGTTTTATTATTCTAGATAGTTCAAACAGAATTGAGATTGCAAATTTTAGGACTGGAAAAACTTACTTTTCATTTTTTTCAGAGAGAGCCTAATAATAATTTTTACCTTTGAAAAATTCTTGTTAAACATAAAATTCTTTACACAAATTACTATTTTGAGTGTTCATGGCAGGAAAAACAATTAAAAATAAATAAATATTGTTGAATAATTTTAGAAGTTACTATATAAAATATGTTCGTGAAGGTTATGTAAAGTTGTTAAAAAGAAACGGAAAACTTGAAACTATTACGAGTTGTTCAAAAAACAACTTACTCTCTCGGAAAATGTAATTTCTGAGCTTATAACATTCATTTTTTCAATCAATTCTTTTGGAAAATAGATAAAGCTAGAAAATAGCTACTAAATAAAAATATCTTTCTTTTGAAAATATTCTATCATTAGTCAAAAGAAAGAAAAAATTTACTAAAATATGAAATCTATTTCGGAATGAAATCATTTTTTTTTGTATTTTTCAATCTTATGTAATAATTCAATAACGAACCGGTACGATAATCGAAAATTCTTAGGCTATATTTGTAGACGTTGACAGGTTAAGTAGACATAAGTTATCGTCAGTTTGTTAAGAGTATCAAAATATTCATACAATAGCACGACTGTGTATCTGTTCATAAAGCAATGTATCATACTAATTTGATTCTTTCATCACTTGCATTAGTTTTAATTACGATGAGCAAAACGTTTCAATGACTATAATCATATATAAAATATTAACAAAATTTTGGTTGCATAATCTGAAACAAGGTACAGTATAATAGAAAAGTAAGAAACAGCAGTTAGTATTAAACTAAAACAATCGCATGAAAAAGTTTTGAAAAATAATCCTTTTTCAAATCGAAATATTTTCCATAGTGGAGAAACTACTTATTCTATAGCTACTTTTGGTTACTTTTCGATGAGGATATACCGCCCCAGAATAGATTTCATATTTAATGAATTTTTTATTTGTCTTTTGTTATGTTGAAATGTTTTCGAAATAAAAATATTTCTATTTAGTAGATTTTCTCTTGCTATATCTATCGCAAAAAGAATATTAGAAAAAAGGAGTAAGGTTTTCTTTTGGACCACTCCTGTATATAGATTTCATTATTGTGAGAGTTAAGAAGCTTATGATTTGGTAGAACTCCTTGGATACTACATTATCAATTTTTTTATAGCTGTAAACAACATTTTAGGACAAAAATCAAACTGATAGAATGTGAGTCTTTGCTAGAATTCAAACTAATTTAATGACAACAATTGAGTCGGAAATATTTGTATTAAAAAACATAAAATCTCTATTCAAGAAATATAATTATTTTATGTCATACAGAGAAGAGTAAATGAAAATTTCGAAGAAGAAATTATTTTAATTTTCGTTCATTTAATAGTAAAAAACAACACATGGATTATTTTATTTAACGTATGATGCAGACCTAAATAGGACAATTCTCATTTTCTCTTGTGAGTCATTCGATTGAGAATTTTTCTTATTCGAGGAAAATTTACAATATGAATTATGATTTTCAGAAAATATCTATCAATTTGTGTAAGTCTTTGCTTATGAAGACTAATTCAAATGTAATGCAGTTAGCACCAATGTATAGGGAATTTCGTGTCCTATGCTTCAACGATTTTTTCAAGGATCTTGGTGCTATCGTGCGTGAGAAAAAAAGCTTACAACTAAAATCAACTGATATGTCGATGAATTTACAAAGAAAAGTTCCCAGATAATTAAAAGCTTTTAAGCCTATATTGTGTTCAATGGTAGATGATCGATACACTAGAATACTCTCCAAAAGGTTCCTGTTGACCTTAAGATTCCGTCGAGATATTAGCTTTTTAATGGAGTTTCCATATGTATGGAACTAATTTTTCTTGTAGAATTTCGGCCTGAAAACTTTGTCCAGATAAAAGTTTCAATGAAAAAATCTTATGCGCAACATTTTAAAAGTTTTCGATCGAGTATCTTGGAGATATGCAACTTCTAAAATATGTATGTTTTGGACGGTCTCAATGGAAAATTGCTTGAAGTCTGAAAAATACATATCTGAGAGACACTCGATCGAAAACTCTGAAATTTTGTGCATAAGCTAACCTCACTGAGACTTTCATTTGAGTGAAGTTTTCATACTAAAATTTGACAATAGAATTTTATCGAAAACTTAGACTCCAATATAGAGAAAATTCACTAAAAAGTCAATATGTCGCTCTAATCTATGGATCTCATACAACTGAGTACAATATGGGGTTAAAAGATTTTAATCATCTTGACATCTTCCTTCGTTAGTCTGTAAAATAATCATTCTCATGCTGTCGAGCGTGGACTTTAATTCTAAAAAAAATGTTGTGACTGTTAAGTTGAAGAATACAAACGATTAGATTGTATCGAAATAAAAAAAAAAAGAACAATCATATAATCCTGTCAGGCAAGGCTTTTTCTAGTATATTATTGCATGATTATTATTTGAAGATTGTTGCTGAAAAACAAATACAACAATTTTGTAGAGTAAAAAATTTTCGATCCAATTAATTTCTACAAGCAAATCGGAATTACACAAAAAGAAAGAAAAACCATGATGTTGTCCCGTTCAATCTTCGTCATCCGCTAGATAATTTATTAGTACATTCTTGTTTACGACATAAATAATAAATCTTATCAAGTCTCCCAAAGCGTTCTTTAGGGGTCTCGAAAGATTTTAAGATTATGCTAGCTGTAGAACGATGGCACTATGACCTCAGAATGTTGCAACTCAATTATTTTGTCTTTTATTTTCTAAATAAAGAAAAAATATTAAAAACAAAAATTGACTAAAAACGTTTAGAATATTATATACTGTTATGAATGAATAATATTAAATTCAAATTCTTCAGTCAGCTCCAAGAAGCATGTATGAGCCCATGTCGTACAAACCGCGATTCTTCTACTTGATTTTTTTAATATCTCACTAGATGGATATGTTGTCAACTCTTAGAAAACTGTTACATTTCAGTCACAACCGTGAGTTCTTATAGATGTGAGCGTGCCCATGCCGTTTACACCAAAGACATAGGCTATTTTTGCCTATTATTCAAGTTTGATTATTTATTACAGATAGTGCCACAAACATAGTCATTAGTTATAAGGCTTAATCATTAAGAAAAAGTTTGATACCATCTAATAAACGGGGCAGTGCGATCGATCTCCTTTCCGCTTTTGAAAACTTTGACGGCAGCTTTTTCTCATCTTGAGAAAATTTGATCTATAGTTGTAACGGTTTTAGTTGAATCATTTAACATCTATATTATTCAATAACATGCATTGTTTATATCTGAAGCGAGAGACAAGAGAAAATAACGAGACTAGCGCACACGATAATAAAAACACGAAGAGAAAAAAGTTAAAAGATAAACTAATTAAAGATATATAGTTATGGGAGAAGAAAGAAACAGACAAGAGGACGACGGAGGAGGTCAAAACATCTTACATAAACAATCAATAAAACCAAGTAGTGAAAACATCTGAAAAATACACTTGGAATGTCACTATATCTTGCAGCGATTTCTAAAGATTTAGGCTACACCATTCTCTCGTCGAGGATAAACTATCAGAGCTCTATGTTCTGTAAATTACGGAAGTTTATAGACTATTTCTTTCTTTATTTTCGGAGAGTTTGCACTATACCTTACCCTGGTAGGGTGAAGATTTTATGAAATGTGACTATTTTACCAATACAAATAACGATTGAAATTATCACACAAGAAAAAAACTTGAATATTTTCTGCGACAAGTTGAGATATTTTAAAATATCTGGAGTTTTTCTGGCAACTTAATTTAAAAACTATTCTTTGAATTACCCAAGTAAACGCGCGAGTTGTATCGTCTTTATCAATAATTACTAAACTTGAAAAGATTTTGAAAATACTGTGACAAAGACGGATATGATCTTATAATCTATGCAATAGCTAGACTCTACAAATGTGAATGATATCTCTGCTACCTTTGGCAGCAAAAAAGATTGAAAATCTTTTCTGAGATAAATATGAAAACGTTTCCGCTGCAAAAAGCTGTAAGATAAGATAAAATATTTTAGAAATCTGTACTAATTTTTGCTGCGTAGTAAATAGATCGAGTTCTATGAATTCATCTCAAACTTTGACTTTAATCTAGAAGTTGCTCGAAGCGACAACTGTTTTTGCGCATTTCTAACTAGAAGGAAAAATTTATATTACGTCTACTCAATTTCCACTGACTCGAAACACTATTACACTAGACGATATTGTCTCGAAATTCGGAAGAAAAAATCCGGAGGAAAAAAATCGGGAAAAGATTCAACAGTTTATTTAACAAAGAAACATGTACAATAAAGAAGAGAAATCATTTGATTTGAAGAGAAGTAATGTGGGTGTGGGTCAGTGGCGTACGCAGGGGGGGGGGGCCGAGGGGGCCCGGGCCCCCCCTTGAGACGAAAAAGTCCTGAAGGGGGTACAGGAAAAAATATTTTCGCGTGATAAAAATTTTTTTGTGTCATGGCGGGCCCCCCCCTTACGAGGTTGGGCGCCCCCCCCCTTGAAAAATTTCTGCGTACGCCACTGACACATACATAGCCATATTATCCAGAAATCCTGACCATAACCGTACCAACACCTGCACGCGTTCAAGCCACGAAAGAGGCAAAATAANAAAAAAGTATAAAATTTCTGAAAATTTATTTAAGTCGACATTAAAAGGTTTTCATAATCCTCATCATTTAGTACCAATAAACCTCATTTTTCATAGACTTTCATTTGGTATAAAATTCATCATATCTTCTATTTGAAATTATAGCGGTACTCCCCTTGAATAATATTATTTCCCACCCTGTACAAATACATAGAGTTTTGATTTGTCCTTCAAAGAGGAATCACAGCTGTCGTGAAGATATGTTTGAATCAATCATTTTCATTTATTCATGGATAGTAAACAGTCGAATTCGAGTATCATGTTCAAGTTTTCTAGATTCTACTATATTCGAGATTTTTCTGATTAGAAACAACAAGAAAATAAAAATTGTATTTCAAATAAACATTTTTTTTTTCGTCTTGTCCAAATTTTATAAAGCATTGAATTGAATTATGCCAACTAAAAGAAAGTGCTCACTATCATCATCGGACTTAGTAGGTATTTATTGAATATCTTCGTGTATATCAGAAACAATTTCTACTTCATATTTTTATGTAGATTAGGCGATTTTTTGCACGAAAGTTTCAGCACAATGAATGTCGCGTGCATCTTTCTCAAGAATGAGGAAGCGTCGAGTAAGGAAAGATTAGAAAATTTTTCTCAATTATAGTATAACGTACGACAAAAGCTTATTCTGAACATCTCTGATCTTCGTCTCTAAAATTTCTTTTTCGTATAACATTAAATATATACTAACATAAGTCATGTTGTCTTATTTTTTTGAGTCAAGAGATAAATTGTCTGTTGAGTGCAGGCATTTTTTATCGAAGATAAACTTGTATTATGAAAATTAATTATAATTTGAAAATTATTAACGATGTTGGACTTATACTCGATCTTATAGTACAAGTATGTTTTGGAAAATAATAAAAAATATAGAAAAACACTGAAAACAGCTCTAAATTATAATACATAATGGGGATCGTATACTAATTCGACATTATTTCAATTTATCAAGCATCGTTTTTCAAACATAGAGAGGCAACTGTATTTATTCTATTTCTATTTACTGTTGTAAATCATAGTATAAGATTGAAAAACTCTTAATCTATTCTATTTTCACATATGTTATTAAACGGCAAGAAATTTATGAGAGAAATTTTTCATTATTTTTTATCAATAAAACAAAACATTTAAAAATGTTATATAATTAAAAAATGCTACATATTTATGTGCTCGTTCAATATGTTGGAAAAGAACATCAACTAATTGATTTCGAACTATTGAATCTTGAGCAATAGTAATAAAGAATTGATTCTAAATATGAAATAATAATTAAAAGTTGTACTTTTTTTTTATATATAATGTTTAGTCGCATCAATCATTAGTATATAAGTATTTTGAATCGATTATTTCATTGATTTTATTCTTGCTGACTATGATCCAACGGAGTGAATACGCTAAATACAAAATCTAAGTGAAAATCATTTTTAAAATGAATATTAGTCTAGAATAATAAGTTACTTGAGCATTTACAGGAAATGGTTCACTTTCAAGAAAGTCTCTCCAGTTTTCAACAGCTAAATCTTCAATATCATTATAAGACTTAAGTAATAGAAATGAATAAAAATCATTTTTCAAATATCTTTCACACTTAAGAAAAAAAATTCAAAATAAAAATTTTAAAAAGTTTTCTTCTATTTTTCTAATAACTTGAATTTTCAATGAATAAATCCATAACCGAACAATTAATTAGCTCATTAACAAAGCGATTGATTACTATCTGATCGTCGTAGAAAAAAAAGTTGCAAAATATTTTCTTATTAAAAAAGAAGTTTTAGCCAACATATCATATTAGAAAATCTACTCTCATGTCTTTAATAATCTCATCTATATCAAATTATTTAAACAGATAGAGATATGGAGTGCGCATATATTTATGTCTGAAGTGTGACTGTCGCTGCATGTGTTACTGCGAGTGTCTTGATATGAATTTAGGTCGAGGATTTGAGTATGAGTTAGGCAAATTATACCTGTATTCAGTATTTCCCTTTCCTTTAAATCTACATCGATATCGAAATCCATAACCACACCCGAAAAAAATGTTACAACCTATTGTCAACGTGATGATATGTTCGCAACGCGTTTTCCTGAGACGAGCTGTCCGATAACTCTTCATCTATTGGAATCTGAAGGAGGTTATGAAGTACTTACATGAAATCTAATATAAGACAGTAACTCATCGCATATATTCATCATCCCAACGGCCATAATATAAATTATTTCCACCGACGAAAACAATCTTTTGATTGATAACAACCATTTTTTTCACGATGAGACCACAAAAGTATTCTGTCTTTAGTATTATGATTTGGATGTCGAATAATCTTAGAAATTAAAACAAATGAGCTATTTACGTTTTTCTTAATTAAAATATTAAACTGACTTTCATAAATCCTTTTTTACTTTTAGAAACTAATGTTTTTTTTTAATATAAACTATTTAAAGGTACAACATATGAAATTTCCTTATAAATTATCACATAAACACGAACTCCTGTATGTCCATAAGCTAACTGATTTTCTCGAATAAATGTCATACGAATTAAATAAACATCATATTGCACTGACAAAATCTTTCGCTTGTTCAGTTAAATTTAATAAATGCTCTGTCCATTCATTACGATCACATGATGTTCAACATTGAATAACTAATGTACGTTGTAAATTACTTATTTTAATACTATTATCACATACCACTTATTATGAATATCAGTTAAAAGTTGACAACCATGATCAACTAACATACAAAAACATATTTCATGTGTATCTGATCGTATATCAACAATATAACTGTCTTTAATAACATAACCATCTATATATAAAAAATGAAGATTTTTTTTTATTGAGAATATAGTTTGATAAGAAACAATACGCATACTTTGGACGATCATGACATTTACATAAATATTCTTTTCAAGTAACTGGCAAATCATGGATGAATAATAAACAACTTACATTGAAAAATTTATATTAATAACAATTAAAATAATACAATATGATGTTATAAGAAAAGTAAGTGTTATTTTTGTTGAATTTCTTAGCCGTCGACTCTAGCTTTGTCGAAGGAAATTTTTGCCAATTTCAATCTCGAAACTACGGAATCAAAATATTGGAATTTCGGTAGAAAACAACAAAAATATAGAATTTCTTGCATTGATGATGATGAAAGCTTTGATTTAAATGAATCTACCGTCTAATACTTGTGCGATCTACTAGAATAGTGATCAAAGAACTGTGGAACTGATAGACACTAAGACAAGTTGATTATTTATTTATATACAAAATATTGCCATTTTCAAATACTAGCATATCGACAAATAATAAGTCTTTTATCAAGCATCAGCAAATTGAAGAAAATGTCGTTCATGCATTCCAGTAGAACAAAACAAAGCAAAGTTTCATGGTGATTTCGAAGTTATATTGAATCTGTAAAGACAATTTACAGTGATCTTTTTATTATTAACATTATCAAAAGCGAAATTAAACAAGATATCAGCTACGATTTACTAATTATTCTATTGGTTATATTGTATTTCCTTCATATATTGTTGCTATTTATAAATATTCATGTTGTCAAACCACCTTTCACCTTCACATTCGTTGCCAATATTAACAATTGGCACGAAGTACATATGAAATTTATAGACAAAAAAAGTCTTGTTTTAATTGTGTTTTGGAAGATTTCTTATTCAAATCAAATTTTACAAATCCTAGTCACATTACTTTATTGATGGTTTTTTTTTAATTTTTTTTTACAAAAAATTTCAGCTTAGACTTTCAATGGAAGAAATTCTACATTTTTGTTCATAATAAAGTTTCTAAAAGTATTATTTAAAGATTCAGATGAAAATGAACTTGTTTCATTTTCCAGAAGCTTCATATTTTGACTTTTGTCAGTGAACAGTTTGAATATGTCTTTGACTTATTAACAAATAATTCGGATATTTTTCTTCGATTACTGCCAATACGAACGTCATTTTTTGAAAAAGTTCAGTCTTACATCTACTATTTTCTGAGATTCTTTCAAATCGTTGATTGGTAGATTTCTTTTTCATATCGACATCTACAGTTTGAAAAAAAAAATTAACAAATGCATCAGTTTCAAGAAAACGGGCTTTCCAAAGATCGGAAGACCGATTTAGATTAAGATGTGAATGTCAAACCATGATTACATCCACACCCACAACCCAGTATTGGGAATAATGTTGTTAAGGACTATATTAAAACTACCCGAAATAATTTAAAGTGAAAGAATCTTCAATAGCTATTCTCTAAAATCTTGAAAATATTATCTTTATATAACATTATACAAATCATATCATTGTATACTATAAGGATATGGGTGTTTATTACTATCATACCCATATTCTTCAATCAACAGTCACGAGAAAAGTGATTGAACAGTTAGGGAAGACATTCATCAAATCGGAAAAGACAGGAATGATGTTTTCTGGTAAAGCTCGCTCTAGCGTTTACTATCGGAAGTCGATAAATTCTACAATATTCCAATTAGTTTCAAACGCCATATATCACCACATCAGATGTGGTTCGATAAGCGAATTTCAGAGTATGATCTCATTATATTTTCGACATAATCAGAGTCATTAGAAACCTATTTTATCTTTTTCAAGATGATCCACACACAAGATTGAATTACATGGGTGGATGCGTGCAAAGATGAAAACAAGAAGTACTATGCCACAGTATGTAATACAGCGGTTGACACATTTATCTCTGGTCTAATAGCTTCTTCTGTTCTACAATTTTTAGTTCTTTATTTATTCTCTTAATGCTTACCGTTGTATGGTTTTATTTTTTTTCTCTGTTCATTATGCCATCTAACGTAAGTTTTTCGTATGATTTCAATTAACAAGCGGTGTATATCGTGTAGAAGTACTGGCATTTTTTGTTATCTTTCTCTTTTTTTATCATTCTATCAGCTGTAATCATATATATATTTAATTTATCATTATCAAGAGCATTAGAAATTTTGTCTCTAATCACCAACCATGTGGAAAATTTTTCTTTGTATTCTGTCATAAATGAACACATGCATCATCGCAGGTGAGAGAACGAAAAAAAAAATGCGGAAGGACAACAAAAGGTCGTTCTTGCAGGGAATAGTACTTTGAAAGATTTTTCTTGGGACTACACTATAAGGTCGAGTTTTTTTGAACTAGTTGATATGCATCATTGCAAGACAAAATTGAGTGCAGCAAGTCTTCTGTATCACATTTGTATACGTCATACTTTGCGTCAGAACGAAAGGATATATAGGCATTTTTTATTTAATTGTAGCGTGTAATTAGATGAAAAGTTATGCGTATAATTGTTTCATGTGTGGGTTGGTATAATTGATGATCGTTGTTTTTTCAACATCGATCGATACACTTGTTTAATGATAATGGTAAGAAAATGATTTTTTTTTCTCTTCGATAAATAAAATAGTATTTGAAGAAAATACTGATTGAATATCATGAGTAATCAAAGGCACTTAATAAGAAGATGGAAAGTATTCATCTGTTAGCAATAAGATACTTTGAAGAGTTCTGTGCGAATTTTCAATCTTTAGTAACCATTTTCAACATGGATAGCAGAATTAATGAAGAGATAATGAATAAAAAAAATTTATAGAAATAAAATCAATCATCATAACAATAAAGAAATTGAAAGAAAACTATCTAAGAATTATTAATTATATGATATGAGGATAATTATCATTTATCCATCAGAATCATCATATAAGAGAATGAAACCATCAATAATATCAAGGATTTATAAATTCTTTCTTTCGATGATGAATTTCTCCGATCATTAGAAATATACTTTCATTCTTTTATATTGTACAGACAAAAATTAGTACATAATGTTGTAGTTTTTTTATTACTATGACATTTCAGTCTGGATATTATTTCACAAAAGAAATCAAATCAACACGAAAAAAGTAATTCTTTGACATTATCAATAATTTCACTATATCAGATATTGATATTGATCTACTATTACGTTTATGTTCATAATATATATGTTAAATTGTTCAGATTTTTACCTGTCAGATTATTATTATGATGATGATTACTAAGTTTATTTTTACATGATTTGTATTCATTTTGATTCATCATATATTTATGAGTCTTCTTTTTAGGTTAGAAATTTTCGATTAAGATCGAACATTTCTTCATGTTTAGTCAACTAAATTCGGCATTCCATATTAACATTAAAGGTTAGCATATATATTTTTTTACAATTGTTAAGTAATGCTCTATATTTTTCTCTATTGACTACATAGCTATGTTATAAGTATCGTATTCATTTTCTTAAACAATTGCAACTTGTGTATCTATCGAATGGCTTTGAAAAGTTTGCTGTTATACAAATATTAGCAAGCTTTTCTTTTATGACATCAATAGACAACATTGTACCTCTTTCGAAACTATGAATGCACTGGTGAGTATTGTTTCTTTTTCCATGAACACTTGTAATATCATAGATTGTGTATTTCAGATTTAGTCGATGTTCTTTCCTCAGATCCATGTAAGTATTTTATAAATATTTAAACTTAGTATGGGGCGATATATTGAGCCGTTTCGAAATCAATAATACACAGTGGCGTACGCAGGGGGGGGGCCCTTGAGACGAAAAAGTCCTGAAGGGGGTACAGGAAAAAATATTTTCGCGTGATAAAAAATTTTTTGTGCCATGGCGGGCCCCCCCCTTGAAAAATTTCTGCGTACGCCACTGGTGTGGGTGTGGGTTGTGGGTGTGGGGTGTGGGTATGGGTGTGGATGAAGAGAACACCCACACCCTCAGTGTTGTAGAAGTGAGATTGATGTGAAATATGAATAATAGAGAGGAACGACAGTGCATTTATACATGCGCGCTAAGTTAACGATCAGCGGCGTGTTCAGCCCCATCGCGCGTCTGTCTATACATAATAATAGAAGCGCAGAGCACAATGAAGTAGAATGATACGCGGTGGACGATGGTCATGGTTGACGTAGACAACCATAAACATTTATGAAAGAATATTATTCTTCCTCCTTTGTTCTAAGGATATTGGAGATTTTTCCAGATTTTTGTTTTCCGGATTCTTGCTTTCCGAATTTTTCATTTTCCGGATTCCAGGACATATTCCACTAGACCACACGTGTCTTCTATTTTTTGGAGATATGCCTTTTTCCTTTTGTTTTCACCTCTTCGTATCACCTCTGCTGATAAAATATACTGTGAAATACGAAAATTGATTTTGTTTATTGGGTAGTAATTGATTTTTTCAAAACAGAAAATATTAGTTTCATAGAAATATTAATGACATCAAAAAGAAATCATGCTAACCATTGCACAATGTTCTAATTTAAACAATTATGATACATAATAAAGCATAATTTTGTCTTATCATTAATGATGATTTTTTGAAAGTAAAGCTAATTTTTTATTGAACTAAAAAAGACAAAAACACACTTCATAATGCTACAGAATAATTAAAAATATTCAAAAAGTCTTATCATGTAATTTTTCTATTTTTAGGATTCCTATACCAATAGCATATAGTTTTTACCTCTATCGATATAGAAGTAAACGAGATTATATTGATTTTGCATTAACATTTTTGTTAACAAATATTCTTGGTTTTATTATTTATTACATTGTACCAGCTGCGTAAGTCCTTATTTTTTTCCAAATGTTTTTTTCTGCTTATTTATCATCATCGTCTTGAAATTTAGACCACCATGGTATATTGAAATCTATGGATTTAATATGAATATGAAAGCAGCTGGCAATCCAGCTGGTTTTATACATTTTGATAAGATAACAGGACTAGGCATATTTTCAGCGATGTATTCCAAAAATGCAAATGTTTTTGCTGCTATACCATCTTTACATGCAGCTTACCCTGTTATAACTGTACTTTATGGTTCATTAAGTAAAAAAATTTGGCTACATATAGGATTTGTTTTATTTACATTAAGTGTCTGGTTTTCTGCTGTATATTCTCGACATCATTATGTGTTAGATGTTCTTGTTGGCGGTACATGTGCAGTAATAGCTTATATACTTTATCGTCTTATATCTCGTATACCAACAATAAATCGATTACTTGCTGCATACAGTAAATTAATTTAAAAATACGGCTATTATTATTACTATTATTGGTCAGAATCATCTATCTTTTGATTTCTGATAAATGTGTAAATGACAAATTTTTGTTTTTTCACATTTCAATATGTCAGATTCTTATTTACATTAAAAACTAAAATGTCTCATTTCTTTTTTTTTTTTGAAAAATGAATAAATTTATAAAAGGATAATATTTTTATTATGTGTTTCATTAATTTGAGTAAAGAATATGAAATCAAATATTGTGCTTGTTAGTGGTTTAATCAAGAAGACTAACAAGAAAATCTCTTCCGGTACCTCCCTTCCGATTTCAATGTTATTTTGACCTATTGAATACTAGATAATGTTCTGATAAAAATCATAAAAGAGATTTGATTCCTATTGAAATTTGATTAATGATAGAATTATCTCAAGTGATCAATTGTTTTGGAGTTTGGACTCTAATATTTATGGTACAGTTCAGTGAAGAATAAAAAGTCCCAACAGAATAAATGCCCTTAGACCTTTATTCTAGAGTTATAATCATTTTACTGGAAATTATTTATGTTTGCCAGGCAAACAAGAGTTTCTATAAAATGCGTTTAAACGCCCAAACAGAAATTCTTGTCTATTTAGGTTATATTATTTAGAGATATATACAATGTTCTGGTTTATCAGTAAAGATAAATGGAGAATGTTTTTTTATTCTATTTAAATAACCAAATGAAGATAAAATACATTTTGTTATTTTCAACGATCAGAATGTTTTTCAAAACATACTTGTGAATGAATACAAAAATTTGTTGAGAGAGAATTTTCGAAAATGTAATAAACATCTTTGTGTGTAATAAAAAGACATAGAGCATTTGATGAATTACAGTAAATATGTCGACGAAATTTCTACATCCTTACATATTGTGACAAAAGAATGTTCTTTGATTTCATCTCTCTTCAAACATGAAAATTAATCTATCATATTTCCAATATTTCTTTGTCTTAAATTGAAACTTTTTGGGAAAAAAAAAATAATCACAAAATTTATTTTAGTTGCTTCATGTACAAAAGAAATTATTTTCTGATATTATCAAGACAATTGATATTTATTTATGTGTTCGTTTCAGTTAGTAAAAAAAGGATTGAATGAAACAATAGAATAGCATCTTTAATTGAATTGCTAATATAATATTTTCTTTTGATTAAGTTAATAAAATTAAATATGCACTTCAAATCAGTAAAAAAGATAAGAAGAACATCTCAGCAAAAGGGTATTTTTTTATATGAAAGGTGAAGGATTTTTGTTTTGAAAAGAACTGATGAATGACATTGTATTTTATCTTTTCGAAAAAAAAAAAGACTATATAATCTAAAACTATACGTTTTATTTGAATGAAATTATTTTAAAATAATCAATTTCTTTTATGATATACTTACAAACATGAAGAAAAAAAATACGCTTAGTATTAAATTGATTTTGATACATCATCAATGTTCGAGTTTCAATTGGTAAAAATCTACAGGTATTTATTTTTATTTGAATTTAAAGAACACATACTTGACTTTAAATCAAAACAACTTCACATTTGTTTTATAGACTATCAATATTAAAATATTGATCATAATTAAAAGTTTCTTTTATTAATCTAAAGAATTTTTTGGTATGAAAAAAAAAACGATTCATTTTTGAAACTAATGAAATCGATTCATAATCATCTATATTTTTGTTTCCACGTTTGTTCTATGATAAAATATTAGCCTATAAAATTTTCTCACGGAAAAAATACAAAGTCTGTGGAATTTATAATCCAATCGGTCAATTAAAAAAGATCAGTATTAAAATATTCTTACTAATTTAATAAACATTCTTAGATATCTTTTGTTTTTTATTAAAACAAATTCTGTATTTTATAATCTTCATTATTTATTTCATCCATCACTATATTTTTTACTCCTGGGAGGTAAGCTCAAGTTGTCGAAGCATAAATGTCAACGAGAATTAACTGGCGAATGCAAGTACTACATTCGCGAGAACACGCTTAAAATTCCAGAAATCATTCTACAGATATAAAAGTTTTTTCAATAGTTTTACATACTTGAATAGCTTTCTTTTAGTTTTAAACCATATTTTGATTTCTTTCCATCGTGAAACCTCAATTAAACATGTCACACCTATTTTTCACTGGTTATACTTATGTCCAATAGGTAAACGTATGTCATTTTGTTTGCTCTCATTATTTTTTTTTTTATTCTTTCATTTCAGTTCTATGTTTTCTTTTTCTTTCAACCAAAAAAAGACTTTTTTTCTCTTGTTTTTGCTTACTGACCAACTCTCTGTCTCTCTCTGTGTTTCTTTCTTTTTATTTTCGTTTTAAATGTTTGTTCTAGCTTTTCATTTTGCTTGTGTAACAATGATCTTTCGTTTGACTTTTTCGACTATGAAACTTATTATCATCTTTCTTCTTTAGTTTTACTTGTGTAATAGCTCGTTTGTCACAGCATCCCTAGAACAGATATCCCAAGCGCAATATTTGAGTAGGTGTTTCATCTTTTATAAATAGTACATGTTCACTTCGTTAATAATTAGTCGATTATAATAAAGACCTCTGTCATACGTGTGTGAATATATATACATATATATATGTATATATATGTATGTTTGTTCACAGAAGGACAAGGTCGAATAGAGGTACTGCTTCTGTTTATCCTTCTTTCCAATGAAAAAAAATAGATTTTTCTCTTCGAGTGTAGAAAAAGCAGTCAGGTATGGAAAAAATGATTATTACAATTTTTTTGTTTTGATCAATAATCCAAACGTGTTCGCCACTTATGATTGTTGTTATTATCATGATGGCATTGGAAGAAAGAGAGAGAGAGAGAGCGACAGGAAAAAAAAGTACAAACAAAACAATAACTATTATTTCCAGTGCCTTATATTTTCGTTCTCATTCGTTGTACAAGTATATAATTGAGTCAGTTATGGTTACAAAAAAAGCGAGTAATATTGACTGATTTATTAATTACAAAATACATTCATATAATTAATTTTAAATTATTTTGTCCTCTGTACTTTTTTTCGTTAATTTGACTGATAAAGAAAACAATAACGACAAAACAACGAATGATTCATTCCACTTGTTAGTCCATAACGTCTGGATTTTTTCATACCATTATTCTACATGTGTGTGATTATGTTTGCGTTCGTTTTTTTCTCTCTCTCTTTTTTTCTCTATTGTGTGCATCACCGTAGGTCTGTCTGTCCTTTTTCATTCATACCATTGCAGTACATTAATTTGGAGTCTAATATTAGAGAAGTACATACATGCGTCATGATTGTTCAATTAAGAGTATCGAACAAGTTATATTTGCATGGGAACCTTTTTATTATAATTACATGGTAAATATCTATACTTGTTCAGCTTTTCGACCATCATCATAGTAGACAAATTGGCTAACAATATAAATTAATCTTTTGTTCGATCATAACAATCACATCGAGAATCTTTTGTTAGGTGCCTTCTGGACTACAGATGCATACATTTAGCACTTTCTGTCATTCATCATTTCTGGAATGAACGGCAGATTATAACGGTAGCATACCACCAATATTTTATATTTTTCTGTCTATCTATCTACCGGTTGCATTCTTTCCTTCTTTCTTTCGTCTTTTTTTGTTTTATTCTCTCTGGTCGCATGTTTGCATCTTTCATCAAACAGTCGTGATGCAACCGACAATCAGTGGATATACTAGAAGTCAATAGTTGCCAGACATGAGTCCGTTCAATAGACTAAATTGAATGAAGCTTTCAATCTTCAACCTCTCTATACATAAATTATGATTATTTTTGTTATTATCGTTAATGTTTCTTTTCATTATAAACTTTACAAAAGTGATCGATTTGTTGTATTGTTTATAAAATTGATTTTCTTTATCTTTTCTTTCTTTCGTTAATACATTTCCTCTATTGAACTTATGGATGTGAGTATATGTAAGTAACGTAGCTTCTTTATGCATATACATATGCATACGTTGAACTGTCTTTAGTTTGTCACAACAGCGGAAATCGAACTTTTCTTTGTCGTGCGATTTCTTTTTTCTTTTTTTTTCTTCTTTTTTTGCCATTCTTTTAATTGGCCTGTTGTATTTAGAGAGAAAGAAAATGACGAGGAAGAGAAAGGTGAAGATTGCATCGTTAACATGTCCTTTTGGCTATGTAAAACGGTACAACGCAGTCATCGTAGATAAATAATTGTGTGAATGTTTACTATGTCTTTTGTACTTAGCTTCATGCATATTTTCTCTTTTCTGTTGTTTTTTTAATTTTTAGATGTGTTTTTCATTAATAAGAGCATGATATTTCCGATAATAATCAATAAAAGCTTGATTGAAAATAACCATGATGGATATCGATTTAAAACAAGTGTTTTCAATTCTTGACGAAAACGGTGAAGGTCAAATTCAATTACGTCGTTTTGCTGACGTTGCTAATAATTATTATTCAGACGCTGAAGTAAGTTCGAATTATTGATATTTTTAAAAAATATGAAACTAGCTGAGAAAAACAATCGACTTCATCTATCAAGTTAGAGTACATATACAATAAAAAACATGAGTATTATGGGTTTTTTTTTTAGAGTCAGGTGTGTGCATATAGATGTGTGTGTCACCTCACATTTTATATGCGCCAGTCAAACGTAAAGGTCATCATCATTCTCTTGCTTTCCTCTTTTTTTTTTTCTTCTTTGAACATACTCTACAGAACATTGAAAAATATATATATGGATATATATGTTCATTCTATTTTAGCAACTTGCTCGTATTACAAAAGCCTTAGATCCAAATAATACTGGTTTGATCAATTTTGAACAATTTTGTGACGGTATTGCTCAAATAAGCTCCCTACAAGGATTAACGTTAAAAGAAGTTGCATCTGATTTAACACGTCGTAGTCGAGAAAATTCATTAGTTGAAGATTCAGATCGACGAAGTTTGGTAAGCAAAAAAAGAAAAAGAATTTTATTTAAATAAAAAA